TTCTATTAGTGGCTCTTCATGTTGTCTTTTACACAGGACTACAGCTTCCCAGCCTTCACCAGCTTCGCCCCTTCTAAATGGAAACTTTGTATAGCCTTGGATTCCAAGGCATAGGATTTGAGTGACAGCTTCCCAAGAATTCTCTGAAGGAACCACAGACATCGGATGTGGCTATGACACATGCAGATACACCTGCAGGAGGCCAGCACATCTAGGTGAGACATTAAGCACCAAGCTTTCATGTCAGTCAACCTGGGTCCCATTCCCAGGTCAGCCACTTGGGAATGGGATCTGGGAAAGTTACTGAAAACTCTCTAAGGTCTTTTCTTTAGTGTGAAAATGGTTTTAATAATAGTATCTGTCTTATAGGGTTGCTCTGAAAATTAAACAAAATAATATATATAAGGCACTTAACACTATGCCTAGCAAATAACTATTCAGCCATTGTCAGTATTGTTAATTATTCATATATCAATCAGTTGCTATAAACCGTGTACTCTGTAAAGGGCTGGGACTCCCAGTTTCTGCCCTCAGAAACCTCACAGTCCGATGGGAAAGGACCACAGGAGAACCAGCAGTTAGGATGTAGGATGGTAAGTACGTTATTAATAATCATTTTGAAAACACTACCATGAATGGGTGACAATTTTTTTTGCTAGCCACTGTGTGCTACATGCTTTATGTAAGTCAAGTGCATAAGCTTTCTAGTCTAAATACATGAGTTCAAATCCCAGCATTACCACTGAATAATTATGAAATCTTGGGCATGTTAATTAACTTCTTTGAAACTCAGTTATTTCATCTTGCAAATAGGTACAGAAGTTAGAAAAAAGAGGATGGGCTTGGTGGCTCACACTTGGCAACATAGTGAAACCCCATCTCTATTAAAAATAAAATAATTAGCTAGGCATGTGCCTATGGTCCTAGCTACTTAGGAGGCTGAGGCAGGAAGATCACTTGAGCTCAGATGTTTGAGGCTGCAGTGAGCTGTGATCACACTACTGCACCTCAGCCTGGATGACAGAGGAGAACACTGTCTCTAAAAAAAAAAAGAAGTTAGAAAAAAATATGTGTAAGATGTCACCAGAGTGTCTTGTATATGGTATGTGCTTCATAAATGTCTGTTGGCTAGAGGAGTTAAAGTGCGGTGACTAATGGGTGTTTGGAAAATGCACGCTAGATGGCTATTGTTCCCACCTCTAGAGAGTCTGACTGGATGGCTTTGAAGACCCAGGTAACATGTCCACCTAGGCTGTGAGGCAGGACTGTGATGCTCAGTGGCTTACCTGGTTTGGACCCCGTTCTGAGCCAACAACTGCAGCCACAGGGACCAGAGGCTGGCACGCCAATGGGGTTTCTGGGAAGAACCAGGCAGAATGTTCTAAACAGGGCAGGCCCTTCAGGACCAAGGTAGATAACGGGCATGGGAGTGTAGCAGAAGGAAGTTCATGCTCTAGGAGAATGTGGATGCTCTGGGGTCTCCCAGGTATCCGCAGTTTTGCATATCCCAACCTCATAGCATTGCCAGGATGGCTTATGCTGGCTCCAGGTCAGGCCTTCAGGGGCTGACAGTAGGCAATTCACATCATATTTCTCTTTGTCCCAGGGAGAGCAATCCTAGTCCTGCCTTTAATATATGCTAATGAAGTAATCAAATACAAAAGAACCTTCCGAAACATAAAGCACTACAAAAATAAGGCATCATCATTACTGACACCATTACTACTGCTGCTGCTACAATTACAACTACTAATGACCACTAAGATTTATCAGTCTCTGTGTGTCAGTTATACTTCAAGGATAATCACAAATCATCCCCACAGCCTGTTTACACAAAAGATGAAGACATTGAGGCTGAAAGAGACAAGGCTACTACCAGCCCCATCACTGACTTTGTATGAATTTGAAAAAGAGGTCTCTTCTGGGCAGATGTAGCCCCTCTGGGACACATGGCTTGGCTGGTTTTTAGCCCCCACTAGCCCTTGAATAAATAGGGCTAGTGGGGGCTATGCAGGACACACCCTTAACATTGGTTCACTGCAATCTCACAGAGAAGGTAAGTGGGCAGGTTCAGTAGAAAGCTAAATCAGGGACTGGGTACAGTGGCTCACACCTATAATCCTAGCACTTTGGAAGGCTGAGGTGGGCAGATCATCTGAGGTCAGGAGTTTGAGACCATCCTGGCCAACATGGTGAAACCCCATCTCTACAAAATTAGCTGAGTGTGGTGGCAGGTGCCTGTAATCCCAGCTACTCAGGAGGCTAAGGCAGGAGAATTGCTTGAACCCGGGAGGTGATGTTGCAGTGAGCCATGATCGCACCACTGCTTTCCAGCCTGGGTGAAGACAGTGAAAACTCTGTCTCAAAAACAAAATCAAACAATGAAAAGAAGCTAAGTCAGCACTTAAATGCAGGCATGTTCCAATACACAAAGCACAGGTACTCCAGGTGGGCGATTGCTGCCTGGAGCCAGCATCTTGTATGCATACCACAAACACTGGCTGTCCCTCTGCACACTCGGCCCCATGCTGCTACTGTGGAATGCACAAGGATGACACAGACAGAAGCTCATACCCCAGGGAGTGTATTATCTTTGAGAAGGAGCAGAGGTACTTCTGCTCAGAACACACCAGCCCCAGAACTGAGACAGTGCCCAGAGAGGAACAAAACCACACAAACCCAGTCCTGTTGACACGAATGAACATTCTTGTAGCAGGGCTTGATAAGCCTGTTGCTAAGCCTACCTCGCTTCCTGCCACTGAGCACCTGGCTCTTGGCTCAGGAAAGATAATCACTCTGGGAACCAGCTCTCCTCAGGAGACCTGGCAGACTGCTCGCAGTCCAGGGCAAAACCTGCCTTTCAACAGAGCTTCACCTCCTCCCATGTCAGACAAGGGGAAACTCAACCTGTAAAGGAAAGGTTTGTACACACACAGTTCTACTGAGAGTCTGCAGTAGTAAGTGACCCTCCAGGAAAGGAAGGAGCCCCAGCTCTCCCAGCTCAGAGTGCTTCCTAAACAAAGACCCTAAGTGTCCTGCTGCGACAACTTGAGACCCCGGGATGCTCAGGTTCCAGAAGCACCCGCAGCTATCATCTGTCAGTCCAGACACCAGCACTGTCTGTGCTGAGGTTCAAGCGGAGAGATCAGACAAGCACTGGGGTGGGAGTGGGCGCTGCAGAGGGCAGATGGGGGGAAAGGGCTTTGGAGAGACCAATATGAATAGTAGGCCTTTTTGTCTGACCCCAACTAAGAGAGCAAGGGAGAGCTGTGATCTGAGCAAAGATGAAAGAATGATTGGTCTCCCCTAGTAATCAAAGAGTTTAATGAGGCTTATTAAAAGCCCATTTCTAGGTCTTGTTGAAAAATTACACCCATAAGTGTTTTTTTTTTAAATAAGAATTGTATCCTAGGGATTCAACACACATGCACACTCCCCCAAAATCCCATACCGCACACATGCACAGTCACATTCCTACAAAACCTGCATATCATGTACATCACAGCAATCTAGGTGCATCTACATCAACAATGGTCACAATTCACAACATACACATAGATTGTAAGACAAAAAAGCCAGATCCCTGAGGTCATTTATGTATCTTTTGAAATTCCATACTTTGAGGAAACCCTAGAGCTTCATCCTCAAGGAGTTGTCATCTACGTAAACAAACAGCATAGCCTCTAATCCCCAGCAGCCTCTGTGTCTTGCCTGAGGCAAGACAGCTCAGCAAAAGCAGAAGCAACCGTGCTTGCTTTACAGTCCAGGATCGTTAAGCTTTGGTAAGAAAGCCACAGTCTTACAGCAAGGTCACTGCACAAGAAGGGGCTGAGGTGGGCTGTGTCACTCCTTCTACCCATGGTGGATTCTCTCTGATATGCTAAATCCCAGGCACTTGATAGCCTCAGCCCTGGGCCTGGAGCAGGTTTCCCTTGGCTCTCTGTTTACTGTGAGCTCACAGCTGCCTTCACTCTCAGGCGGAGAAAACACTGCTTTCTGGAACAATCAACTAGATGCAGAAAGGAATCTCTTGCAGAAAATTGTCCCCCCACCCACAGAGCGGTGCAGATCTCCCCAGCATCCTACTCACTGCCAAGGGGTAGAATGCAACAATGACCATTCAGATGCTACTTCTGCCAGCTGGAACAGTCTGCTACTATTAGAAACAAATGTTTTGGAATTAGTGAATCTGGGTTTCAAGCCTACCTCTGACTCTTACTCACAGTATGGCTTTGGCCCACTCTTTCAGCCATTGTTTTCTCCTTTGCAAAAGGTGAGTAACAACTTCCTTCTACCTTATAGAGTTGTGGGAAAGACCACAGGTACCCTTCAAACTGTATCCCTAAAGCAGATGCTAGAAATTCTCATAATGAGATGATAATGGGAACATGGAGGAACTCACTGATTGGGTTGTGAACTCCTCAAGGGCAAAGCCTATGTTGTATTTATCTTGTTCTCTGTGCCCAGCACTGAGGCTGGCACTGAATACCCTGGGAGAAAACAGTGTGAAAGAAAGCAAGCAGAACGAGTGAATTCATGCATTAAGTGGCTTGCCTAAGTTCACAGAGCAGGTCATTGTGGGATCTGGGCCCAGAACTCTTGACCACACTAATCCAGAGCTCTCTGTTCTAGATGTACCAAGCAGCTGGGTCTGCTGAAGCGAGAGTGAGTGTCACAACAACTGCAGCATGGGCCAGTTTTCAATGAGCGCCACTATTCCCAGAGAAAGACTCAATGTTGGCCAGGTATGGCCTAAAAGGGCTTCACAGACTCACCTGTAAACATGCCAACTCCACATTGGGAAAAAAGAGAAGCCACAGGTGCAAGTAATACTCAAATGCCTCAAACCGGCTCAACTTATTTACCGACTTATTCCATACTGACATGAATTGCACAACACAGAAAAGTCACAGGCCTGGGCCAATGGGTCTGGCAGGGGTTATATTGTGCAGACTGGAAGCTTATCTTGATTTGGGTTCACGTTTAGCATCATTACTTACCTACTGACCAAGTGTCCGAGAGATCACTAGCCCTCTCTGATTCTCAGTTTTTCCATCTGCAAAACAAGAAGACAATCACAATTAATTCCTTGAGATCTCTGGATTAAAATGCATCACAGGTTTTATGCCTAAAATTGGTTACCAAAACTACATATGATTCCATGTAACTGGGAAAACTGCAAGTGGTCAGGGGCTGCAAAATAACTGTTTAAAAAATGAAGTGCAGTAATAAATTAAGCATGACATCAATAGTTATGTGTCAAGGAGGACGCTTGCTGGTGGTGCCCAACTCTCAGCACAGAAGACTCAGCCTTCCGATCATTTGGGCACTTACTTTTATTTTTTATAGATGTCAAAATAAAAAAAAAGACCATTAAAAATACCAGGAGAAATAAAGCCAAAAAAAGGACCACGACCTCAACACATTCACTTCAAACAATTTGGGATATTTTTTCTTTTCTTTTCCTTCTATACATAGTTTACCTTTTTTTAGAGCAGAGGCTATAAAGGTATACTGTATTAAAAGCACCATGCCAATTGTGATTTTCCTCTCCTGCCACCTGTGTCAGGCCATGACAGTTGACCATTGCCCTTCCTGATTCATTTTCATTCTCATCATTTCCGTCAGTTTCCCCATGGCCTTTCCAGGTGAGTGGTCAGGTCTCTGACAGGCACTGTCCGCACCTGAGCCCAGAAGAGTGAGAAGTGAACAACTTTCAGAGCCTTGGACTGGTCTTTCCCTAGTTTAGTTTCAGTTCCCTCATCTGAAAAATAGGAAAACCGGACCGGCTGATCACAGATTTCTTTTATGACTTAAAAAAGCAAGGCTAAGGAAAAGAGAAGGAAACTCATATATTTCAGTCCCTACTATGTGACAGCTAATGACCTAATAATATCTACAGGTATGATTTCATGATCCTTATAACCACCCTGGGAGATTTTATAGGCAAGAAAACTGCAGCTCAGCAAGGCTCAGCGATCTGTCTAAGGCCTGATGCCGTAATTTTGGTACCCCGTTCACATTTTTGCCATATCCATGCATCACCTCTACTACCATTTACTAATTTTTCCAAATCAATTAATTCATGTTTTCTACTTAACTATATTTTTTAATGATTTTCAAAAATGTTTTGCAGCTCTCTATTTCTGCTCTTTCTCTCCAATGAAAGGCAACCTTGCAACTAACATAGTTTCTGTAATTACAAAAGGATTGCTAACAATGTAAAGGAATTTGTCATGGAAACCATTCAAATAACATCTAAGAAGTCATAGGTGTGAGGTGCTCTCTCTCTCTCTTTCTCTCTCTCTCTCTGTGTGTGTGTGTATTTCTGGCTGGGCGTGGTGGCTCATGCCTGTAATCCGAGCACTTTGGGAGGCTGAGGAGGGCGGATCATGAGGTCAGGAGTTCAAGACCTTCCTGGTCAACATGGTGAAACCCCATCTCTACTAAAATACAACAAATTAACCAGGCATGGTGGTGGGCACCTGTTGTCCCAGCTACTCGGGAGGCTGAGGCAGGAGAATTGCTTGAACCTGGGAGGCGGAGGTTGCAGTGAGCCTAGATCACGCCACTGCACAATATAAATAAATATATATATATATTTCTACTATTCATTAAAGTAAATACTTTTGGAGTTGAAAATGCTCATCCATGTACTATGCCAACTCCCAGCAGTGCCCCTGCTGCACTTTGGGAAGCTGGTCTGAAGTCCTTCACTGCACTGTAACTTCAGAACTAAAGTCTTTCTTATTTCAAAGCTGAAATCATAAAAATACCTAACACTTAGACCATGTCAAGTAGGTCACCAGGGTCACACAGCTAGTAACTGAAAGAGCCAGGGCCGGGTCTCTGCTTGCTGGCGTCTAACCCAACCCAGTGCCCCAGTGCCCCATGAGCGCCCTCAGCTTCCCCCACCCTCCTCAGGCCCCAGATCTGTAATTCTGTGCCATCTGGTCACCAATGAAGTTGTTTTCAAATCCATACAGGGTCATCCTGTTTTGTTTTGTTGTCCTCAGCTTTTCTATAAAGTTACTAGATCATATGGTTACTTATTTACATTCCCAAATGGGTGCTTGAGTACAAAGCTGCATAATTTCTAAAACCACGTTTAGAACATATGAGGTGAAAGTGATTATTTATTCAATGATCCAAAATAGTAACTGAGAAAATAGAAAACGCTGATAAACTAATACCCAGGAACACCATTGCCCCTGCAAATGAGTGTGCAATCCCAACCCAGGCAGGGAAGTGGGAGAAAGCGGCAAAGTGACTGCAATGGACACTGATCGAAGCTGTTGTCTAGTGTCTTTCTAAAGCTCTAAGTTTCCACTTCCTGTCATCTGGTTTTAAATTAATTGGCATGAATCTTTTATGACCAGAGAGCAAACAGGTTGAATGTCCCACTGAACTGGGTTAGGCTTACTTTCTGCTAAGCTACAAACTGTGCAGAAGCAGGAACACAAATGAACAGAACACTGACTATTGATTCCCTGTCCAATGGCACCTCTTCTAGGAAGCCTTCTCCCACCAGCCGGGCCAGAATTAGTTACTCCCTCTCCTGGCTTCCCTTGAGGCAACACTTATTACAGTCTCTGTTACACTGCAGTCACGCATTGTTTTCTTTCTTTTTTGAAGTATTTTCTTTCTATGTACTAATACAATAAAAACTCACCTACCACCATCAATATGATTGTAGATATATTTCCTTCTAAACATTTTTGTATGTATGCTCACACACACAGACATCTACACAATATACATTCAGATGTTTTACGAAGTAAGATCATGCCATACAAGCTCATTTTAATCTATCTTTAATTTAGTAAAATAGCAGGTTTTTTTTTTTTGAGACAAAGTCTCACTCTGTCATCCAGGCTGGAGTGCAGTGGTTCTTCCTTGGCTCACTGCAACCTCTGCCTCCCAGATTCAAGTGATTCTCCTGCCTCAGCCTCCTGAGTACCTGAGATTACAGGCACATGCCACCACACCCAGCTATTTTTTATATTTTTAGTAGAGACGGGGTTTCATCATGTTGGTCAGCCTGGTCTCGAATGCCTGACCTCGTGATTCTCTCACCTTGGCCTCCCAAAGTGCTTGGATTATAGGCGTGAGCCACCACAGCCAGCCAATAGCATGCTTTTAAATTGTTACATAGATTTAAAATTAATTTCCTACCAATGGATATAGTATTCTAATTTTTTCATTAGTGTAAATACTCTAATATCTTTGTACATATTTCTTATAGGGTTGTTTGATGATATACCACATTGCTTAACATTTAAAAAAATTATAGCTGCTCCTCTCCTAAAAGTGTATCACTTGTCACTTTTACCAGCAGTATATGAGCATGCCAATTCCTCTTGCTTCTATAAATATTAGGCATTAGCATACTTTAAAAAATCTCTATTGATGTGATAGGTAAATGGTACCTAATTGTTTTAATCTGCCTTCTTGCATATCAGTTAAACATCTTCCTCTGTTTCTTGGTCATCACACTTCTTTGGGAATTGCATGTTCACTGTGCTTTACTCATTTGGGGTGTTAGTTTCTTTCTTGTTGCTACATGAGAGTTTGCTATTTGTCTTTTACCCTGGTGATTTTTTAGTTTGCTTCTGGCATGTTCAATCACAGTAAAGGGCACTGCCATCTACTAGTTGTTCCCACCACAAATCTGGGTACCTGTCTTGACACGCCGCTGGGTGTCACTACTCACAGCCAATCAATCATCAAGTTGGTTCCCTTCCCTCCCACTCCAGCTCCACGCCCTCATTCATAACACCATCACCTCTCCAGGGGACTCCTGCCATGGCCTCACACTAGTCTCCCACATCATCTACTCCAATTCTCTCACCACCAGAAGCCAGAAGGAATTTTTTAAATGCAAATTCAATTAACTTTTCTGCCTAAAACTTTCTGACAGTTTCCTACTCTACTAAAGTTAAAATCCAAAGTCCTTCACATGTTCCTGTGCCTCATAAGCCTGCTTCTAGAACCTGGCTTCTGTACTGCTCAGGTATTGCAGATACACCCATCTGCCTCACAGTCTCTATACTTGAGCCACACTGGCCCCCTTTCAGGTTTGCAAATGGCTCCAGACCCTGGGTGCTGCTCCCTCAGCCTGCAAGGTTGTTTGCACTCCTCTCTACCTGACTGAACCAAATGTACCCTTTAGGCGTCTCAACTCCAGTGCTATATCCTCCCAGAAGCCCTGAACCCCCAAGCTAAGTGAGCCCATCTGACTGTTTAGTAGGGCTCCCTCTGTGGCACATCTCATAAGTGTAATTAAGCACTGTTTGGCATGGTTGGTTTAATGAATACCAGACTGCTCTATGAATGACATGGTTTCGATCTGTGTCCCCACCCAAATCTCATGTTGAATTGTAATTCCCAATGTTAGAGATGAGGCCTGGTGAAAGGTGATGGGATCATGGCGTGGATTCTCCTGAATGGTTTAGCACTATTCTCTTAGTGCTGTTCTCTTGATGGTGAGTGCGCTGTCTTTGCATGGCCCCCTTTGCTCCCTCCTCCTCTAGCTCAAGCCATGTGAAGCGTCAAGTTCCCCTTCATCTTCCACCACGATGGTAAGTTTCCTGAAGCCTCCCCAGAAGCCAAGCAGATGCTGCCATGCTTCCTGTACTGCCTGCAGAACCATAAGTCAATTAAACCTCTTTCCTTTATAACTTACTAACTCAGGTATTTCTTTGTAGTGGTGCGAGAATAGACTAACACAATCAGGACAGAGACTTGGTCTCTCTTGTCTACCCCTGTCTACTCAGAATTTAGCATGGCACTTAGCACATACTAGGCACTCAATGAATACTCACTGGATTACTTTCTTTAAAAATATTTTTAAAAATATTTAAATAACCTATCTATTTCAAGGATCAAGCAATCACCTCTAGGTTTTCATAAGAAATAAACACAGATCTTTACAGAGAAAGCAGTTCCAGTGACAAACCAGTCCTATCTTCAAATGTGCAGGGTCTGATTTAAGTCTATTCATGAAGGACTGTTGCATTTTTCTCCATGTACAAAACTCAAAGCCCTGGTGTGGGT